TCTCTGGGACTTGGTCTCATCATCAAGTGACATCCAGGCAATAATAAGCCCTACCTTGAAGATTTTTTTGAGAAAGAAAACAAGGTAATGGAAAATGTACCACTTTGTGGAAGATCTGACACAGGTAGCAACCAGGAAAGAGAAGTAAAAATTGGAACTGAAAATAGAGGGGTACTGGGGCCAAATTATGGGCTCCTTGACTTTAGATCTTAATCTGTGAGCTACAGAGGAGCCAATGAAGGTTAAGTGAGTGAAAGGATCATTACAATAGCAGTTACTATGTGCCAGTCACTGTGCTAAATATTTTAATGTGTACTTTCAATGTACTATGTAATCCTATTAGAAAAAATGTTCTCCCAGTTCTAAAGCTGTGAAAACAGAAGCACAGAGAGGTTCCGTAGCTCACTCTAGGTTACCCAGCTACTAAGTAGAAGAGCCAGATTCAAAATCCAGACCGACTCCAAAGTCTGTCCACTTACTCACTTTGCAGTTCTGTCTACATTGAGAATGTTAGAAAGGAACAGTAGAAAGCACTCACCTTTTTTATTAAATTATTCATTCAACAATGCCTAGCATTGTGCTAAGTGTTGGAAGCCATTCACTGATTTACCAAATCCTTGTGGAGGCTGACACAAAGTTCAAGGCCCTGTTCTAGGTGCTGGAGGGGCACCTCTGAGCAAGAGCCACTGGGGGCTTACATTGAATTAGGTTGCTTAAAACACAGTTTTTGCTTTCAAAGGGCTTAGGCTTTACTGAGACATGAGTTGGGATTGGACAGAAGCTTAGAAGCAGAGTGGAGTATTTTAGAGACAGTTCACATTGAAAAAGATCTTTCCCAGATCGGATGAAAAAGAACCACATTGTGGTCTTTGGTAAGAACCACCGTTTATATACTAGTGACTTATTCATTCAGCCCACATGTTTGAAAGGTTAATGTATAGTATATAACCTGCTTGGCACCCAGAATAAAAAGGAGGAAGCAGACATGATAGCTAGCTGCCCTGGCGGCTGCTTTGCTGGAAGTCAAATAGGGCATAAGGCTGGGGGGTAGCTCAGCAGTAAAGGGCTTGCCTAGTGTGTGTGAGGCTCTAGGTTCCATCCTCAGCCTCATAAATAAACAAAACAACAACAGGGAAAAACTCATAGTAGTCTTCACAAGGCAAAGCGACAAGGGGCACAGTGCGCGAAGGCTATAGAGACATTTAATATACAGTGATCCAGTACAACCCGACCTCCTTCCAAATCTGTTAGACTATGAAAAGGATTATTGTAAGGTGTTACAGAAGAATAAACAAGGCTCTGGGATGTGAGATGTCCTCTCCAAGGTTATCAGCTGTCAACTGGAAACGCTAGGATACATATTCATGAAGCCTGGCCCACACCTTTCCACCCTACACACAGCTAAGCACTCTGTATAGTGTTATTAAGATTCTTTAAAAAGCCTTACCTGTGGAGGAGACTCATTTCTTTTAGGTGTGGGCCCTATAGATTAAGATAAGTAATTTAGCTTAATTGGAATCCAGGAACGTTCCCTGGTGTGGTGACCTCCTAGGAAAACCCCTGATCCTCGTCCCATCCCTTTGGTTCCGGACCTGGAGTTTCCCTGAGCTAGGTGGGGCCCATCCGAGTTGCATTTCCAACTTCAGAGGCCACCTTGGCCAAGGTGACTGCTGCCTTCCGAGTACCCAGACCTTCTCCAGCAAGTCCCTTCCCAACTCCTTCATTCTCTTGGCTTCCTGGGAGGACACTGTTCCTCCCGCCTGGGTACTTGGCTCTAATTCACCTTCCTCTCACCCTCTGCCTTGCACACTGCAGGCTGAGTGCTCAATAAGATATGACACCTGATAGTTAGCATTAATTGTAGCTGTGTTCATCCCTGTGCACGTCTATTTTTCCCGGCCCTCCTGTGTAATTTGAGTCCCAAAATAGCCCACCTCCTGATATAGTCTTAGATAAGTTTCTAGGGGTGACTTTTTTCTTCTGTAGCAATTTGTGTCATGGGCACCTATTATAAAACTTGGTGGGGGGGCTCGCTCACTTCTCTGTGAAATGTTTCTTTGTTGCCTGTTTCCAGAGAAGGTGAGAGAACGAGTAGAAGAGATCCCACTGGTGCCAGGTGAGGTGCAGATCGTAGGCCCGGGAGGGTGGAACAGCCTTCTAAAACCTCCGACCCACCCTATTGTCCCAAGAAATTAATACCTTGAGGCTCACATCTACACCTTTGTGCCTTATCTAAGGCTTTCTTCTGCTCATTCAATGATTTATTTTGAGACAGAGTCTTACTCTGTAGTTCTGGTGAGACTTGAACTCATTATGTATCCCAGGCTGGCCTCTATTTCTTGGTGATATTCCTGCCTCAGCCTCCTGAGATTACAGATATGTGTAATCCCCTCCTGGGATTACAGATGTGTGCTACCTCCCCCCATTTCAGTGATTCTTTATTGAATACTATGTAGTTGGCAAGTTCTTGCCCCCCGTAAACCTTCCATTCTCTAGACTTCTTTCTTTTCGGACTTTTTTTTATCAATAGCCTTGGGGTATACAAGTTCCTTCTCTCCTAAGTGCCTTCTTGTCTCTGCCATGCTCTGGCCTGTTAGTATCCCGCATCCATCTCCACACTGAAGTTCAGTGGGGCTCATCCTGGGCCTTCCTGTCTTTCAGACCTCAGTGCTCCATGGATGCTTCCCTGTGCTTGGATGACTCAGCTCCATACCAGTATCTCAGGCTGCCTGCTGGCCATCTATGCTTAAATATCCCACAGGCCCCTCCGGTGTAACATGTCCCAAACGGAACCATCAGCTCTGTCCTCTGTTCCTGCTGGTTCCCCAGCCCTGGAGTGAGTGACTCAGCTGTCTCTCTTGCCATCTTGGCTGAATGAGAGACAAGATCTCATAGGGATGGCTTCTTCTTCCTCCAGCCTCTGGGCTGAAGAGGCTGCCTCTATGCTGCCTCCTGTCGGTCCTTGTCTCTCTATCTTTGCTACCACCACCATCCCCTTGCTTCCCCATCTTCCCTGCCTACGTTGCTGCCAGAGCCTCCTGCTCAGTCTTCCTAACTGGAGGGCTCCCCGTCCAATCCTGTTTAAAGGGCAAATATAAAGACGTCATTTCCTGCAGAACATCTTCCAAGGTTTCCCTCTTCCGACGGTGAAAGCCAGGCCTTGAGGCCATCTGGGCTCCCAACCTGCTGTGCTTCTGCCATACATGGCCTCCTTCCTTGGCATGGCGTATTTTCACTTCATCCACCAGTGACTCGGGCTTCGTCCTCAGCTTGCGATCACCTCATTTACCCTGACCTAGCTCCCGAGCTGTGGGAAGGGATGGCCTTTCTCCCCCAACAGGGAGCTGTCAGTTCCTTGAGTGCAGCACTGTTGCCTGTTGTTGCACCCTAACCACTGAACTTTCTCATTCCAGTCCCCCTCCCTCACCACCACTTTACTTTGAACAGACCGGGAGGTTCTTAAAACTGAATAGGATTTTGTGTCCCTTCCTGTCACAGAGAAAGTATGAATGTAAGAATAAGAACCTAGTAGCTGTGAATTTAGCTCAGTGGTGCCATGCCTGCCTCCCAAGCACATAGTCCCGACTTTGGTCCCCTGTACAAAAAAGAATAAGAACCTGGAATTCAAAGGGCAACTCAGTTGAACAGGAATCTTTTCGCCTATTTAAGCACACAGCATGACTATGCATGTGTTCAGTAGGGTCCACACTTTGATCATCTTTAAGGGTGAAAAGGAAGTCAGTACCCATGTTCCCCTGGAAGGCACAGACTTTGGTCTGAAATAGGGGAAGGGGACCAGGATCAGGAGTGACAGATTTCTGTGGAGGCAGGACTAGGAAAGGACCAGGTGTTCCACACTTCTTCTGCCTAGAAACTTCTCCCCGTCCCTTCTCCTGGGGTCAGTTGTCAGAGTCCACCCATTGTGTGCTCCTGGGGTGGGCTGACCCTGAGCAAGAGCTGTTTAGTCCTTGGACTGGGGCTCTTTCTGCTGGTTGAATATCAGAAGGAGAGGAGTCCTGATAATGGAGTAGGTGAATGGAGACAACCTGAGGTCCCTAACTAGGGGTTACTCCCTCTCCTCTCATTGTGCTCATCTTAAGTAAGTCATTCCTTGTGGGGTAAGGAAGTGTCTAAAGATCACTGTTTATTCACTGTGTGTGCCAGCTGCATGCATCAGATGCGATGGGAGCTTCCAATACAATCAATCACTTCATCCTCATATCATGTGGTATAATCTGCACATGATATCACTGAGAAAGCTGAGGCTCAGAGAAGTTCAGCAAACTGACCAGGGCCACACAGCCAAGGATTCCAATCCAGGTCCACTTGCCACCAAGCCCATAGGCTCCAATGGTTATACAGTAGAACTGCACTCTCCAGTATGGTAGCTACTGATCATATATGGCTATTAAAATTAAGTAAGAATTAAAATTTCAGATTCTTTATCTCACTAGCCACATTCAAAGTGCTCAATGGCCACGCACGGCTAGTGGGCGCCTATTGGCCATGCCAGTTGAGAACATGTTCAGCATCCTAGGAAATTCTTTGAGAGAGCACTCTTATAGAAACTCAAAATCAGGAAGAGCCGTAGAAACCTGAGAAGCTTGGAAGGCTTTTCCAAGGAGGCAGATCTCGAACTGGTCCTTGGAGAGCCTAGAGACTCAGAAGGGAAGTGGAAGGTGTTCTAGGTAGTACCTGGCAGCAGGGAGGCAGAACCTGGCACTGAGAGGGAATGGATGAATGGAATAGGTGTAACAGTCAGGCATGGTGGTATACACTTGTAATCCCTTCACTCTGGGAGGCTGGGACAGGAGGACAGCAACTTTGAGCCCAGCCTGCCAACTTAGTTATTTAGCAAGACCTTGTTGCAAAATAAAAAAAGGATTGGGGATGTATCTCAGTAGCTTGGTGCCAGTGTCCTGGGTTCAATCCCCAGAACGGACAAAAAGAAAAATATTCAAGGTAAATGGTGACCAAAGCAAGTAATTTGGACTCTGCTTCTGCAGTTAATGAAGTGACTGGGTTCCTTTGCTCTTGGGTGCCCAGTGTGCAGTGGCTGTGAACAACAATGTCCTCGGAAGTGTATGCAGCCTCTTGCTGGTGCGGGTGGCCCCAGGCGTCCCTGAAGACACTGCTTCCTGGTGGATGTTCGCGTGTCTGACCTCATGCTATCCCCATTGTAGGCTCTGGATAGGTATGCAAGGTGCCTTTGGGAAACCCCAGGGCACAGTAGGGAGGGCTCACGTTGCACTAGTCTTCATGTCCATCTGTACCGAACTGTAGATGAGGAACACGTGATCAAGGCCCTAAGCAAGTTCCAGTTTCCTGGCCACCAAAAGATCCACAAGTAGAAGGAGTGGCTTCACCAAGCTTAACGCAGATGGATTTGAGACACGATGGCTGAGAAGTACCTCATCCCTGAGGGCTGTGGGGTGAACTGTGTTCCGATGGAAAAGCGGGGGCCTTGCACTCTCAAAAGCCCCCACTGTGTTATCCCCTTCTTCAAATCAATCTCATCAATAAATCTTATCTCTACCTAAAAAATTCCTTTAGGTCCTACTGTCTGTGTATATGTGTCTAAAAATGCATATATGTATATGTGTGTATGTGCATCTGGATATGTGAATATGTACTTGTGTGTGTTTCAGGGATGGGGGAATGTTGGGGAGGAAACCGGCTAGAAATACAGGAAGCTCTCAAGTCTTCAAATTGCAAGACTGTTCGAACTCTGTTGCAGCTGGGTGCCGTGGAAGATGTGAGAGCCAAGAATGGGCAGGATAAGCAGAGCATTTGAGATCATGTCTCTAGCCAAGAGGACAGGATGGACCAGCAGCAGGGAGAGCCCATGATGGACTCCAATAGCCCTTAATGGTATAGAAAGAAGGCTGCTCAACTTTGAGGCTGGGGGTGGAGGGTTAGGAGGGAATCCTCAGGAGGGACAGGTCATCCCATCCTCCCTCCAGGCAGGAGCACAGAAGCAGGAAGCCTGGGGCAGCACACCCTGGTGGGCTGTGGGCATCATGGGCAGCCTGAGGGAGCAGGCGTGGCACTCTCAGGGCAGACTGTGGCTGATGGTGCAGTGCCTCCCCCTTTTGCCTGCTGGCAATGCCAGAAATATTTGTAGTAATTTTAAGACAAATCTCACCAGTCAAGGGGCCTGGCATAGAATTATTATTCCCTTAGTGTCTGTTCATCCCTGGAGTTGGGACCTGGAAGCTGTCACTGGGCATAGCACATGCCAGGAGTGTGGCTCTGGGCAGAAGGGGGAAGGGAGGCTTAAAAGCTTCTAGGATGTGGATGGAGGTAAACAGGAAGGGAATCTCCAGGTGGAGGGACTGCATAGGCACAGTCACCAGAGGAGGAAAATACAGGGCAAGGTTCAGGGGTTGGGGGTTACCAAGATGCCAGTCCCATCTCCTAGAGGCAGCTTGAACCCCAAGCTGGGATGGCATAGGCAGGTTTTTTTTTGTTTTTTTTTTTTATTTAGGCAGGGGCTCCCTGTGTAATTGAGACTGACCTGGAACTCACTATGTAGCCCAGGCTGGTCTCGAACTCACAATGATCCTCCTGCCTCAGCTTCCCGTGTGCTGGGGTTACAGGTGTGCACCACCATGCCTGGCTTAGGCAGGTTTTTTTTTTTCCTTCCTTCTCTGTTTTTCCCTGTACTGGGGAATGAACCCAGGGTGCTCTGTCACTACATCTGAACCCTTTTATTTTGAGACACAGCCTTGCTAAGTTGCCCAAGCTGGACTCAAACTTGTGATCTTCCTGCCTCGGCCTCCTGAGTAGCTGAGATTGCAGTTACGCACCACCTTGCCAAGATAAGGAGAAAGTTTTTCAGTAAAGACAGTGCCTGGTCTGAGTAGAGTGATTTGTAAAGTAACAGAGACCCAGGTGGGAGTAACCCAGGATGGCTGGTATCCCAAAGTGAACTTGGGTTACTGCTGAGCTCCACTGCCCAGCCTGGCAGTCTTGGTCAATATGTGACAAAGAAGAAATGATGCAGCAATGCTTGGTACAGCGTGGTAAGGAGACTTTATTCGGGACCATTATATTGGTTAGCGTTCCCATTGCTGAGACACGATACCAGACATCCACGGCTTAAAGGAAGGGATGTTGAATTTGGCTCATGGTTTCAGGAGATTCTGTCCAGGGTCAGCTGGCTCCGATGCAGGAATGTCATGATGGAAGGGTGGGCAGAGCAAAGCTGCCTGGTTCACAGCGGCCAGGAAGCAAAGGAGGGTAACAGGGCCAGAGGAAGGATTGCTATGGTTTGTATCTGGATGTGCCCCCAAAGCCTCATGCAGTCATAGGGCTTTTTCAGAGGTGGCTGAATCTAGAGTGTGTGATGCTGGGATTAAGGGCGTGTGATTACTAAATCAGTACACTCATTGGTTTGGCATCTCCCTAATCTCAGTAGTCTGCCTAGTAAAAGGGGCAGAAAGGCTAGGGATTTAGCTCAGTGGTTCCACTGTCTGCCTCCCTAGCGAAAGGTCCCAAGTTCAATCTCTGGTACCAATAAATAAATAACAAATAAAAGGGGCAGAAAGATGCTATTAAGGCCCCTTATTGCTTTTGCTACCGTATGGGCACCATGAACAGTTTCCCCTCTGTGACACTCCTCTGCCATGTGCCGCTCTGCCTCGGAGCCAGCAGATTATGGACTGAAACCTCTATATACTGTGAACTAAATACACCCCCTCCCCTTTAACTTTGGATGTTGTGTGTTTTGTCTCAGCAATGAGAGAAAAGTAACACAGGGATGAAAGACCAGACTTTGACCTCATGGCCACACCTCCACAATCCACTCAGGCACTCAGAATGTGATCCACCAGTTCCCTTGGTGGATCCCAAAGCCAGTCAGGTTGGCATTCTGCCCGAACTGCCACAACCAGCGAGAGAGGTACAGGAACTTCCACAATGGGGTCCTACAGTTGGGGGAGAGAAATTGGGCTCTACTCCAAATACAGCATGAGCTGGTTGGGATTTATAACCAAGGAGAAATAGGTAGGGGTCAGTGGGTGAAATTACTCAGAGGAAACATCGGGAGTGGGGGTTCTAACAAACTTACCTGACAGGATTCTTGATGAACACAGACTAGGATGATCAGCTAGGGGACAGTGCAAGAGGAGGAACTGATCAGATATGGAGGATAATCAGATGCCCAGGTAGGGGGTTTTGGCTCCACTGATTTAAGGTTCTTTGCTAAAACTGGATCTTAACAAGGAAGTGCACAGAGGGCCTAGCAGATCTAGAAGCCTGACCCAAGTTGGGCTAAGCAAAGAATCTTTCTCACAGGCTCAGTGTTTTGTCCCTTGTGGGCCACTGTGAAAATGCAGGAACCACTGAGAAGAAGTGAGTAAGGGGAGGGAGGGGACCTCTCCAAAGTTGACTTCCAATTTAACCAGAGAATAAACAGTGTGATAGATACAGAAAGATTACCCAGAGGAGGGCGGAATACAGGTCAGGGGTCCAGTGGGGAGGAGGCCTTTACAGTAATGCTTTCTCACTAGGGGTGAGGTTGGGGCATATGAGGAGCAGCCTGTTTCTGCCAAAATGTGTGTGTGTGTGTGTGTGTGTGTGTGTGTGTGTACATGGGAGGTGAGAGTCATGAGTGGGCCAGGGAGGTCAAAGGAAGCAGGAGCTTCAGAAATGGATTAAGTTCCTTCTCTTCCATACCCTGTTGCTTGGCCTTGGCCATAAAAATAAAAAAGAATAAAGAAGGCTGACAGTTATCTCAGATCTCCTTATTTGCTAGGCTCTTACCAAGTCTTTCCTACAATTTTGTTTACTTCCTGTGACAACTTAGTGCTATTATCTCCATTCTCTAGATCAGCTTGAAGGTCAAGTGACTTATCCAGGTTCACAGTACAAGTGGCAGTCTTCTCTGGGGCCCAGGTCAGTTTGACTCAAAGCTTACACCTTTTCCATATTGTCTGGGGCAGATGATTAGAAAGGAGGGGAGGGGGCTTTCTCTGTAGGGCTAGAAGGTTCTAGAATGCTCCAGAGCACAGCTGGTGCCGATAGACTGATACCACACAGCAATCACTGCAGCACCCAGCAGTTTTCACTCATTTACATGAGGTATGATTCCTCCTTCCGCCACCAACCACAGGGAAACTCACTGTGGAGTGTGGGTAGAGAAGGATCCCTGATAAGATGATTCTAGAACCTCAGCCACACTCATGCCATTCTGTTTGTATGGGGGCAGGGCGGGATCAGGAATGGCCTGGTTTAGAACTGGATCTGGGAGGCAGGGTCTGAGGAGGAGGAGGGAAGATGGACCGGCTGCTGGCGATTAGAGGGGCCCAGCTTTCTTCTGGGGTCACAGGAGTCTGTGTAGCTGGCGGCATGGGGGGCTTCACACAAGGTCATCAGGGAAGCAAGGAGCTCGGTGCTGTAGAGGACCCAGCATTTGGGCCTGCGCAGGGATCTCACTGGAGGGATGAGGGAAGAAAGGTGAGGTGGGTCTTAGAAGGAAGCTAGGCTTGAGTGGCACAGCCAATGGACTTGTGCAGAGACTCATGCTGTAGGTCAGGGCTAACCCTAGTGACCTAGGCAAGGCTCCACCATGGCTCCTGCTGGGCCTGCAGAGCCCAAGGACCACCAGACACCATCTGAGAGGACATCACCCTTTTGCAAGCTAAGTTTTATTCCTTAGGAAGTCTAAATTCAGAAAAGGGCTTAGGGGTTCCACAGGACTTACAAATATCAACCCCAGAAACTAAATTTCTGCCAAGAAAGAAATTGCATAGATGGGCTAATTCCTTTATTTATTAAAAAAAAAAAAGACAAATAATTCATTGCCTTTCTTCACCTGTTCTGAGCTATCCCTGGCTTAAGAGGAACC